CCGTGGCACTCGAAGTATTTTCCTTTGTTGAGGCCAAAATATTTGACAAAACTTAGGCTCGAGTGTTGATTTATTAAATTGTTTAGCCACTGTGGCAGCCCAAGGACGAAGGACGAAGGATCTGTGAAGAGGAGTGGAGTGTGTGCATTAGCGACACCTGTCCAACTGAGACACCTGTGCGAAACCCAGAGCAGCACGGTCCATTGGTTCCATTATGGCAGCTGATCCACGCTGAGCCAGGCAGCTTGTTTACAGCTTTTCTATTTATAGGACCTCCCCTTTTTCTAGCTCCCCCCATCAAATGAATATATTTCCCTGCAAAACATCGAGAAAAGTTAAACTACGCTCTTTGTGTGACCTTGTTTATGCGAAACCCGAAAACTTTCTAATTAGCATTAGTGCCTAATAAAATCCCAGTCCCTGCCGCTTATCATATGATATTTATAGTTTAAAACACATTTATCAAATTATATATATCTAGGGGACTAAATTGCGTAACACAATATCCCCAAATGCAAACGAAAAGAAGGCAAATATTTGCCAGATGTTGGGCTTCCGTCGTCACATTTTCACCGGGCCAAAGTAAAAAGTTGCCCCGTTTAAGGTAAAGTAACTTGGGTAATTTTATTGGGACAATGTCAACCTTTTAGTGTGAACAAAATTGAATGAAAATCTTTCAAAGAAAACTTGATTTGTGTTAAGTATTTCCCTGAAAATACTCGTTATATATTTATTTTATTCCTTTTTAAATCCCTTTAAGGGGAAATAAATTGCACTACCATTTCCATTTTAGTTTAAGGAACTACAGTCAGTAGCTGCAAGCGAAAAAGCCATTTTTAGAGTGCTGGTCATAAACCAGTGCAAGTGTTTGTGTCATAAACAGCAGCATAAATTCCTAACAGTGCAGGAAGCACACATCCTGTTTCCGTTCAAAATTTCTTAAATATTTTTCCTTTACTGGTTTATTTTTAGTACTTTAAATGCTGTGGGAAAACCAGCAGACAAAACTATTCAGAGCCAATTGCTGCATTAATAGTCGTAAAACTTCCATCTGTGAGAAATTGTTGTCATCTGGTTGGCCCCTTACAAAAGGCAGCCTTTGTCCTGCAAAGGACCATCGACCATGTATATGCCAGGGCTAAAAATAAATAAATAATGCGCCTGGACTTGGCCCACAACACTGCGTATACGTGATAAGGCATTGTGTGTGCAAGTGGGTGGTGTGTATGGTGTGTGTGTGCCTGCGGTTTTTGGGGCGAACCTTTTCCCAGGCATCTTGAACTCCAACTGCGTCTCTGTTTGTCCAGTGCTTTTCTCTTCATTTTTTTCCGCTGGAACCTTTGTTTGTCTTGTATTTGCCAACATATGCTAGCCTTGGGTTACAAATGTCCATGTCCGTGCCTTTAATTTGCAACCATCTGGGGCGAGAGAACGGCCACCGAATTTGTAAACTCGTTTTTCATTTGGCATAATAAATGAAAGGAAAACAGCGAGCGATAAGCAAACGGAGACGAATGTGCCAATGTCAGACCGCAAAGTCATTGGAGCATTTGTCTTCGAAGATCTACTCTTTTGCCGCTGGAAAGCACAAAAACAAAATACGGTTTGGTCTTTGTTTTTGCCTGGCCACGAGAAGTTTTTTAGCTCGTTGAGCTGCGAGATATGCAGGCCAACTACAAACTACGGTTACTTGCTGGCATCTTAATAAGGTCACAACACTCTTGCATAATTTATGAGGAAACTATGGCTTAGCAATATGAAACTATGCATAGCAGATGAGCGTTGACATTTCAGAGACTCCTGACAGATGTAGGACAAGCTTAGGGGAAGCAAATACTTTCTAGCTGTGAGAAATAATAAGGACATCTGAAGGGAAGATCCTTATTAACAACCAGGTCCATATCACGTATGAAAAAAATAAAAATATTTTATTAAATATTATTTTTATATTTTATTAGAGTTTTACCATGTATGTTATAAAATAAAAAAGTCCCTTGTTTAGTTTTAAAAGGGGAAATTGCTATCTAAATTTGAAATATTATATACAATTAAAAACCGCAACATTCTTGTTCTATACAAAATATTTTTAATATATTTTTGTTATCCCCAGAAAACGGAAACAGTCATTGGCTTCTTTGATAAATATTTATTTAATGATATTTATTCCCCATTAAAATGGCTCTTTCCTATAAAAAGTACTATCTTATAATATGAAAAACCCTTACCAATTTTGTTGACTTTTCTCTGTATGTCCATAAGCGTCTTGTAACAATCTGCTGTGGCTCCTGCAATCACTATTGTTGCTGCTGTTCTTGGGACTTAAGAGAGCTTTTCAAACAGTAACACCAAGTCGTGAAGGGAGAGGAGGAAGGGGGGACAAACAACTAACGCCTGTTGCCGTTGGCCACGTCAAAAGGAGTCCTGACTTAACGCTTTATGCAAGGATTTGGCTCACAGCCCGACAACGACGACAAGCGGCTCAAAAGGATGGTGGTTGGTGGTCGACAAGGGGGAGGGAAAAGCGGGTGAAATGCCCACTGACAGGTGAGTTTGTTGGCTTTTAAAGTTAGTACACATGAGCCAACATACACACTATGCATGCTCAAAGGCTTTCAGCTTCAGTTTCAGTTTGAGTCGGTAGGTAAACTTTTAATCATCGCAAAGACAACGAGGCAACTTTGCAAATTATTCTAGGCCAACCACTGGGCATAAAATTGCAGAGCTGCTGCTCATATCAAAAACTCCGCCAAGTGTGTGGGCACAAATCCTGCGTGGGCAGCAAGGAAGCATATGTATTTACTTGAGCAAGAAATTGACTTTCGCTTTCTTTGCTTTGCCTTCCTTTCTTTCCTTTATTTTTTTATTTTGTTGAATTTGTCGGCCAGCAATTACATTCAACGGGGCTACGAGATTTATTTAGATTTGCACGGCAATAGCTGACTGAATCTAACGTTTTACTGCCGATAAGGTCGTAACATCAAAGGCAATAAAATCTAAACACAGTCATCGTCAAACGTCCCGCAGATAAGACGACGCGGCGTATACGCAATATCGATTGGGATGAGAGCAAAAGTGAGTTTGCCCTGGGTGAAGCGCACACACTTTCGGTTTTCGGCTTTTTTTGGGATACATTTTGATTTGTATTCGGCGATAGCGTTTGACGTAGGAGCAACAGATTTCACTCGACTTATTTTTTTGTTACATTCTACATGTGCCGCAATTTTATTACAAGGGGCCACACCCACGCAGAGCATGGGATTTTTGGCAATTATCTAAAAACGAGTTCGAAGTCCGAGCAAAAAGCCAAATAGGCTGCAATTTGTAATTGAATCGGGGCAAAGGGGGTTCTATTTTTAAAAGGTCCACCAGGAAATCAGTTAGCTCTTGATGGGGGGTAATTTCGGGGATTTGAGTGGGTAATAAAAAATCAATAAATAATTACGCAGGGTAGAAAAAAGCAAATTCCCCTTTAAGGACTTTCAGAAATGCAGCAGATACAGCCATTGATTGTGGGCCCAGGAATTAGTCGTTGGAATTGCACAAATGCTGTGTGGGTTTTTTTCCCAAAGAAAAACATTCCGACGCAATTAGTCCTTTTTCCAGGACTCTGACCAGGACTCTCGCATGTACGCTTGTGCAATCCGAGCGGCGTGTCCATGGCAACTGTGGCATGCAATCAGCTTTCGGTTGCGGATGGCGGCAGATGAGATTGCGCCATTGCAAACAGCATCGATGTCGCAATAAAGCCAGTGGATAACAAGGACATCTCTGTATCTATATATATACAAGGAGCTGGGGAGCCTCAGGTGCCGACTGGATATCGGATTACCGAGGAATAGGAGAGTTAATTGGATTTAGCGCCTGCTTTATAGATTCCCTCCCCCCTCTATTCCGATTCCCCGAACCTATTGAAAGCACTCTAGTTGTTATTGATGGTCCTAATTAATTGCGTCCGTTCCAGGTCTTGAATTCGCATTAATCCTCGAATCCCCGAATCCCCGGGTGAGTTATTGACCTAATCCGAGGAGCGTGCAACAAGTGCGCGTCATAGCTGTCAAGTGCTGACAGAATTGGGCGATGGTTATGCATTATTTTGACGGATGCCAGGCACATAAATGTGGTCTCTGTGGAAATCGCAACGATGTCGGGATTGCAGAACCCTTCACTGTCACGAAAGTGAAAGTCTCTGCTGACGTTGCACTTGGAAAAGGGGAAAATAGGTTTTATAACTTGGTATAAACGTCATTTAAAGAGCATTTTTATAGGACTATATATTTTAAGGGATGTTAAATCTTCTTAGAAAATTTAAAAAAATTATAAAAGCATTTATAGGATGATTTCCTAGTATTTCAATTTAAGGTGTTAATATGTTAATATTATTTATTGCATTAAGATCATAAAATTTTATTTTTAGTATGTTTATAATATTTTTATTATGTACAAACTAAAATCCATTTAAAACCAAAAAATATTCTTAAAAAACGAAGTAAAAAACTGGATTCTAGGATATTTTAATTTAATATTTTCTTTAGAAAACGACAGGTCAAACTTCCACAGACAGCAGCTATTTCTGTGCATAATGACTGACCTATAATAATGGTGCTATTTACCCCGCGTGTGTGGCAAAGTTTAGTTTCGCCACTTTGACCTTGGCTCGAATGCAATGGCTTTTTAGCATGCAATGCGCAAATTTTCCGCCTGACAGTATGCAAAGGAAACTACGCCGCTCTGCCGACGGAAGTTGGCCAATGCCAGAGGCGAAAACTTTGGCGGATTGCTGGCCGAAAAAGCTGCCTCTGGCATTCCAATCACGCTCCTGGGCAACCACACACACAAATTGGGAAATATCCCCTCAAGCAATCGCAATTAACGCCTGACAATCGCCTGACAAGTGCAGCATGTCAACCTGAAAGTTCTAGCTAGTAAGCCTGGCCCAAACAAAACGAACCCAACCGAACCGACGGCAATAAAATAATTGATTTTTCGCACAATCCACTTACCGGGCCTAGGTTGTCGAAGCCGTATTTGTCGGCCACTTCATGGGCGAATCCGTTGTCCACTCCGCGCCGGAATCGCACCAGAAAGGAGCTGGTGAACACGGAGGGACCACTCAATCCTCCTGCTCCGGCAGCTCCTCCTCCGCCCGCTCCTGCACTGGCCAAGTGGAGGAGCAGGAATGGGGCCAACAGCCAGCTCCATGCGGCTGCTGCCATGGAATTCAGCTTGAACGCCTTGGTCCTGCGGGTTCTCCTTGCTCCTGGCGACGATGGGGCAACACTGGCAGCCCTTCAAAAACAATGTCCTTTTTCGGGGCGGGGGTGGTGGGGCGGTAGGGTTTTTCTGGGGGATTTCCTAGCTGATGGAGTGTCGAAATTAAAGGCCGCGCTTCACTGCACACCCTGCGTTTTGTATTCCAGGATTTAAGGATCGAGTTGCTCGGCTGGCAAAATGTCCTTTTGTTGTGGTGGCGATTTGTTTTCCTTATTGTGTATTTGTTGTGCTTTCCTTCCGCTTGGAGTTCTGTGGGCTTTCCTTGGTTACTTTTTTGGGGCTAAGGTCTTTTGTGCGCTGCCACGACTTCACTGGGGCGCTGCGCGCTGAGAACTGTTCGCCAGCGGTATTGGTGGACGCCATTATGAATGTCCCCAGAGCGCCAGAGCGGAGGCGAAAGCTCCGGCGGAGAAGCTCACTTGAAAGCTTCGAATAGCGGAGGAAAAGCCACCCATTCAACGCACCCCTAAACGGACCTACTGCTATCCCGCTCGCTCTCGCAGTGGCGGTTACAGGACTTTATGAAGGGGGTGTGGTTTGGAATATATAAAAGCACACCTAGTAATTATCGCTAAAAAATAAAATAATTAATTATAAATATAAGAAATAAATGCGATTTTAAAATTTAAAAGGTATGTTTAATCCTGAAAAAAACCTGAAAGTAGATCCATGTTCTACATAATATAAGACACTTATCATTAGTTTGGTGCAGGGACCGTAAATAATTGTTATTTGAGATTTTTATTTTAAAAGGCCTACTAATATTTAAACAAGTTTTAATCAACAATTTAACAAAAATAATCCCAAAGAGTCCTGCTTAACTTTTAAAATTAAAAAAAAAAGTAATTTATTAATTAAAAATATTCTGAAACTCTAAATTCCCCTTAAAACTCCTACTACGCCTCTGTACGCCTGCTAGCGCTCAGCTGCGTTAGCTAAGCTTTTCCTTTGGCTTTTCCCCCTGACTCCGGCTTGCCATCCCGGCTGGCTTGGCTTTTGCAGCGGTTTTAGCGACCCGCAGACGTCACCAATTTGGCCGCCCGCTGCCATTAGCCACCCACAACCCCCCACTCCCAATTCTAAGTTTTAGCCACTGTTTTGCCATTGGTTTATGCTGCGCTCCGTGAACATATGGCAGCATACTTGACTTTCGCCGACTTTCGGCACAGAGTCACATGCTCCAGAGTGCAGAGGGGACTTCTGAGGACTATTCATAAACATGAACGCAATTGCCTCTTACGCGTAATGGCTGCGAAAGGGCTTCAACTTTGACCTTAGCCCAAATAGGTTCATAAAGCCCCAAGCACCGAGCATCCAAGCCTTTAAACTGCAGCCCAAGCGAAAAGTGAAGACAGCTGGGGGCAAACTTTCGCCGGCTTTTTATGCCAACTTGATTGTTTCAACCACGTTTAAGTGCGAGATGGGAATTCCCATATTTTGATTTCATTCGCCATAAATTCTGCCTCCCAGGGAAATCCCTTTTTTCAGGCGCCTCATTACATTTTAAACTTAATTTTATGAACCTTCCGTAAATTGAATGAGGGTTAATATCGGCTTGATTGGTTTAGCATGCACATTTATGGAATACCTGCAAAATATTAACCTGTTTTAATACATCATAGTCCTTAATTTAAGATAAAACTTGTAGATACCTTATTTTAAAAATATTTTTACAGATTTCAATGAAAAGTTGAAGTTTTTATTTGATCAAAGTATGGAAAACATTTGTTTACACTATAATATTAAGGCCTGTTTTTTAATCTTCCTTATAAATATGAAGTAGATTCTAAACTTATTATGAAAAAAACTAAAAATAACTTTTTAAAGTAACTTTAAGATAACAATACTTGGCTTAAATTGTAATTTGTTGAATTATTTCGGTTAACAACCTCGGAATAAAACAAGAAATAAAGCTATTTCGATATATGTGAAAGGTAAAATGTTAGATTTTTATAGATGCTCCACAAAAATAAGAATTCTGAACGACTTTAAAAAGAACCTAATCGACTAATAATGCTGCGTATCAAGTATATATTATATAGAATCTGAATATACTCTAAAATCTCGCTTAAAATGAAATAGTAGTTTTGTTGAGTTTGTAAGCTGCTTCCCAAGCAGCTCAAAGCCGTGATAAATTCGCACTGACCTATATATAAACACAACGAGAATATCAAAACAGAAATCCTTCGCCTACATTTCAATTAATTTAAAAGGCTGTCGCACTCGTTTCGCATCGTATCGGTGAATGAAAGCACAACCGGGGGCCGACAATTCACTGGCTGTTGTCGGTGGCCAGTCGCATCCACCTGTACGTCCCTGCCGCCTGTGCAGGTGGGCGGCGCATTCCCGGCTTGATAATGCCGAACATATGGCGAGTCGCATGCGCTGAACATTCGACGCGACAATTGACGGGACCTGCTTTAAATTACAATTAATTTTTAATTAGCCTTAAATTTACATTTACAAAGACGCTTAAGAGCTGCTTGAATCAATTAGCGTACTCGTATACAGAATGGTCAAGGAAAAGGAAAAGGGCAACAAAACGAAAGTGCTTAAATCTAACTTTGCTCATCACAATTGGGTATTCGCTGGGTTGGGAAGATGATGGTGTTCGGGTTTCATTTCCGGCTGCCGAAGAGTTTGCCGCGCGCTGTTGGAAAGAAAAAGGATGAGCTTTGATCTTTGGAACTTAAATTCACTCCAACTTACCATGTGAAGTGGCTGGGGAGAGGGCATGTGAGCTGGCATGCCGCTTAATCCGCGGAGTATTCTTCAATCCTGACCCCGAAGCGGAGGAGGAACTTGTACAGGTGCTCGAACCCTGGCCACTGGCCACTACATTGGTCAGCGTGGACACTCCGCCGGAGGAACCTCCCGTAGTTGGCATCGACTTGTAGCGCTGCAGCGAGGTGCGCGGCTTCTTGGGCATCGTGGCCTGCTGCACAGCCTCCTCCAGGGCGCTCAGCCAGTCCTCGTCGCCCTCGCTCTCGTCTTCCAGAAACTTCATGTAGAAGGAGGGTCGCTTTGCGTTGTGATGGTGGCTGGTGGGTGTGGTGCTGGTGCTCGGTTTGGGTTTAGGTGCTTCTTGGTGCTCAACCTTCGACTCCAGTTGCTGGGAGGCCTCGAGCAGGAAGAGATCCGTCTCCGAGTCGTTGAGGAAGTCGGCCATGGGATCGGGAAGCACTGGCTCCGGCTCCGGCTCAACTTTCTTGCAGGCCGACCGTGTGCGGGCAGCTACAGGTGGCGGGATCTTGGGCGTTTGCAGCGGATTAACCGCCTCCGACACGGCTATCTGGTCCAGCTGGCTGTTGAGCCGGGCGCAGCGCTCCTTGAGGAGATCATTGGCCCGCATCTGCTTCGCCCGCCACTGCTCGTTGTCCAGCTGACTGCGCCGATCCTCGACGCCCTTGAAGGCGATCTGCCGCCTGCGTTCCCGCTGACTCAAGCTTCCCATTTCGGCGGAATCGAAGCCACTGTCCGTGGTGGCATTACTCCGATTCCAACGCCATCCCACCTCCGGGCTTTCGGTGGCCAGGGTCTGCGAGAAGAGGCAGTTGGGCGAGAGACTCACGTCCAGGCGCGGCGAGAAGTCCACACTGTCGTCCAAACTGGGCTTGTGCTTGTGCGGCGGAGTGCTCTCCACATCGGAGGTGATTACCCCGATTGTGGAGGCGTTGGGCGAGCCAGGAGTTTCCAGGGAGACGCTCACATCGTGGCCGCTTCCTGGGCGCCCGCAACTCTGCGGCGAAGCTGTAAAAAGAGTTAATTTAATGGGTTTTCCTGGGAAAACACTCCTGTGTAAACAAAACACTCACCACTGTGTCGTTTTTGCAGGAGACGCGTGCTGAGCGTCAAAGAACGCCGCTTAATAAATGCGCTGTTGTCCATGGAATCACATTTATTAGTTACTTATCACGGAAAAGGCTTCTGCAAGATGTATGTAAGTGCGCGAGCCACATATAAATTAATAACTTGTGCAAATTGATAAATAAAGTAATTAAATCAAAAATTAAGGAATTTTTGTATTGCCGCCAATCGATTTTGGGGATGCCACTTGACAGTGGACTATCGCGAGTCGATAGTATAGTAGGGGCATTCCCTAAACTGTTGAATTTCCAAACAGCTGTTATTTGTTGAAAAATTTCACGGAACTTTAAGCATGTAAAATTTGATTTATTATTGCTAGTTACTGTCTAAAAGTGTTATAAAGGTAAAAAGAACCACAAATATGCTTTTTAAGTTGATTTTAAAATAAATAATGCGTACTGGTGATACTAAAATGTTACAGGGTTGCCACGACTTTAAAAAAAGGCTGGCTTTTCAGCAATTCAACAAAATTTTCAACAGCCCCGAGGCTGTTGAATTGCTGAAATTTCTGAAAGTTGACTTTGTATGGAACAGCTGATTAACAGCTGACCAAAATTCAACAATTCAGCAATTCAACAGTTTAGGGAATCCCCCTAGTATAGCAGGGATTTTCCGGTATTTATAAATACTACTAAAAATACCACATCCAATTTTAAATAAATCCAGGGATGTGCGTCAAGTTAGCGTCGGTGACTTTAGCGGCGATAGCGGAACGGTGGAATTTGGAACACGGGGCCAATTTTTATTTTTTGATTTCTGGGGCTTCTGGGGGCCAAATCGAACAATTTTAACTGTAAACTTGTTTAGAATGAAATTCTCTTTCGATCTAGATAGGTTGCAAGCCTATCCGACTTCTAGAAGTATATTAAAAATCTATTCTAAAAATCGTGTCCCCACAATTTTTTTTATTGCTCCCCTCACAGAGGTTGTACCAATATGCACGGTAAACATGATTATTGGGCGTTAGTTCAAGCTTCTTGTCAGAAAGTATCATTAAGCTAAAGCCGTCAGTTTTTGAGAAAATCGCCTAACAGTGAATGCACCTCGGATTTTCCCCATACAAAAAGGGGGGCAACTGTTAAATTGCACAGGGCTCCACTCTCAGACGTTGTACCAACATGCACGGTATATTGGCAGATTGGGGATCGCCTAAAGCAAGTTCAGTGAAAAAATCATAAAGATAAAGCCGTCAGTTTTTGAGAAAATCGCTTTACAGTGGGGGAGATAAATAGTTAAAAGAAGTGCCGCCAAATTCAAATTTGAACCAGTAAGTTCCAAGACATGAACCACTATGTAAAAAATGTATTCATGACACTAACCATATGGGAAAATATTTCTGTTTCGACGCTAACTCTATTTTCAATTAATTAGACTTTCACAGACGTTGTACCAACATGCACGGTACATCATTGGAAAGGAAATTTATTTTACTAATTAACTATTGTGGTTCGGTTAACGAAAAGCCGTCAGTTTTTGAGAAAAACGCATAGCGCGTTGTCGCCATCTCATTTGTTCCGAAATTGGAACCAGAACGACCCTGTTCTACGCTCCCAATAGGAACCAGAACGACCCTGTTCTACGCTCCCAAGACTCTTACCACATGGGAAAATATTTATGTTTCGACGCTAACTCTATTTTCAATTAATTAGACTTTCACAGACGTTGTACCAACATGCACGGTACATCATTGGAAAGGAAATTTATTTTACTAATTAACTATTGTGGTTCGGTTAACGAAAAGCCGTCAGTTTTTGAGAAAAACGCATAGCGCGTTGTCGCCATCTCATTTGTTCCGAAATTGGAACCAGAACGACCCTGTTCTACGCTCCCAATAGGAACCAGAACGACCCTGTTCTACGCTCCCAAGACACTTACCACATGGGAAAATATTTATGTTTCGACGCTAACTCTATTTTCAATTAATTAGACTTTCACAGACGTTGTACCAACATGCACGGTACATCATTGGAAAGGAAAATTATTTTACTAATTAACTATTGTGGTTCGGTTAACGAAAAGCCGTCAGTTTTTGAGAAAAACGCATAGCGCGTTGTCGCCATCTCATTTGTTCCAATTTTGTAACTAAGAACACATTATATCGATATTTTATATCGATACTTTGATAAAAGCAAGCTGAAAGTGTGGCATCACTCCCGATTCGCGGGAACTTTACTTCTTGGCGCCATAAAATATAAAAACGAAAGTATGTTATATAACATTTTCAACGAAATACAGACATGCCTTAGATTATACTTGCTCGCCTGATAAATTTTATGTATCATTTATTATGTCTGTATTTCGTTGAAAATATTATATAACATACTTTCGTTTTTATATTTTATGGCGCCAAGAAGTAAAGTTCCCGCGAATCGGGAGTGATGCCACACTTTCAGCTTGCTTTTATCAAAGTATCGATATAAAATATCGATATAATGTGTTCTTAGTTACAAAATTGGAACAAATGAGATGGCGACAACGCGCTATGCGTTTTTCTCAAAAACTGACGGCTTTTCGTTAACCGAACCACAATAGTTAATTAGTAAAATAATTTTCCTTTCCAATGATGTACCGTGCATGTTGGTACAACGTCTGTGAAAGTCTAATTAATTGAAAATAGAGTTAGCGTCGAAACATAAATATTTTCCCATGTGGTAAGAGTCTTGGGAGCGTAGAACAGGGTCGTTCTGGTTCCTATTGGGAGCGTAGAACAGGGTCGTTCTGGTTCCAATTTCGGAACAAATGAGATGGCGACAACGCGCTATGCGTTTTTCTCAAAAACTGACGGCTTTTCGTTAACCGAACCACAATAGTTAATTAGTAAAATAATTTTCCTTTCCAATGATGTACCGTGCATGTTGGTACAACGTCTGTGAAAGTCTAATTAATTGAAAATAGAGTTAGCGTCGAAACATAAATATTTTCCCATGTGGTAAGAGTCTTGGGAGCGTAGAACAGGGTCGTTCTGGTTCCTATTGGGAGCGTAGAACAGGGTCGTTCTGGTTCCAATTTCGGAACAAATGAGATGGCGACAACGCGCTATGCGTTTTTCTCAAAAACTGACGGCTTTTCGTTAACCGAACCACAATAGTTAATTAGTAAAATAAATTTCCTTTCCAATGATGTACCGTGCATGTTGGTACAACGTCTGTGAAAGTCTAATTAATTGAAAATAGAGTTAGCGTCGAAACAGAAATATTTTCCCATATGGTTAGTGTCATGAATACATTTTTTACATAGTGGTTCATGTCTTGGAACTTACTGGTTCAAATTTGAATTTGGCGGCACTTCTTTTAACTATTTATCTCCCCCACTGTAAAGCGATTTTCTCAAAAACTGACGGCTTTATCTTTATGATTTTTTCACTGAACTTGCTTTAGGCGATCCCCAATCTGCCAATATACCGTGCATGTTGGTACAACGTCTGAGAGTGGAGCCCTGTGCAATTTAACAGTTGCCCCCCTTTTTTGTATGGGGAAAATCCGAGGTGCATTCACTGTTAGGCGATTTTCTCAAAAACTGACGGCTTTAGCTTAATGAAACTTTCTGACAAAAAGCTTGAACTAACGCCCAATAATCATGTTTACCGTGCATATTGGTACAACCTCTGTGAGGGGGAGCAATAAAAAAATTGTGGGGACACGATTTTTAGAATAGATTTTTAATATACTTCTAGAAGTCGGATAGGCTTGCAACCTATCTAGATCGAAAGAGAATTTCATTCTAAACAAGTTTACAGTTAAAATTGTTCGATTTGGCCCCCAGAAGCCCCAGAAATCAAAAAATAAAAATTGGCCCCGTGTTCCAAATTCCACCGTTCCGCTATCGCCGCTAAAGTCACCGACGCTAACTTGACGCACATAATCCAGGGAACGAAAATAACTGTTATTGTAAATTTTTCATACAAAAAAATCACGCACTTAGAAGGGTCCTAAAAATTTTTTAAATACACCACAATTTTTATTAGCCATTGTAGTTTACAAATCCGTAATGATTTTTATTTTTTGATTTTTATAATAAAACTAAAAAAATAACTGTTATTTTTTGATTTTTATGAATAACAGTTATTCCTTTGACATTTTTGAAAAAATGAAATAATTAAAAAAAACATGATACCCGTGCTTTTTATAACTTACTAAAAATTTGTTAAAAAAGGCAACCGCACATATTTTATACCTATATTTTTTTTAAATTTTGTTTACCCACAAAATCGCCATAAATCAAGTTTGAGTTTTATTTTTGATCACGACGAATAACTGTTATTTGTCAACTTTTATTATAAAACTCAAAAAATAACAGTTATTCTTTGAGTTTTACTTTACAAATCAGAAAATAACTGTTAAAGTGTGATTTTTAAAGTAAAACTTATAACAGTTACGTTCCCTGAATAAATCCATATATCTTGCTCATAGTTGCGTTGTTATCGATGTTTGTCCAATTGGAAGAAATCTATGCTCGAAGGCGACTATCGGTGTTTTGGGTGATGTGTTAAAACCGAAATTTCGAATACAATCCCAATCTGATCAACCATCCACATCCACTCGCCCAGGACAGGAAGATGAACTACAATCCGAACGCGGGTATGCGGAACCGTAAGTGGGAGAACTGTAAGGATCAGGCTACGCAAGCAAGTATAACCGAAGGAAGTCCGGTGCAGCCGCTCCGGAGCTCTCGACCCCGACCAAATTCGGGAACCGGGAGGCAGCCGGAGTGCTCACTGTTTACGTTGCACGTTACCCAGTTCTGTGGCTTCCACTGCATCCTGCATCCTGCAATCCGCCCCCGCCCTGCGTTTTCGTTCCGTGCTGTGCTGTAGCTTGATTGCCTGTGTTCCCCCGCTTTCCCAATTGCCACTGATCCTCCACTAACCACCCACTGTTTGCCCCGAAATAGCCGCAGCTGCCACCGGTCGTCCAAGGCCACCGAAGCGGGTGAGCGATGTCAACGCCATGGGTCCCGCGGCTCCGATGATGGGCGGTGGCGCCACCTTCATGGCCCCGCCCACTGGCCCTGCTATGCTCGATCCCAATATGTATGGTGCACCTGCTCCGGCGCCCAGCTATGGCTTCGACCCCAATCTCGGCCAGAATCCATCGCAGCAGCAGCAGCCAGCGGGTTACGGCTACGGAGCACCACAGGCTCCTCCACAACAGGCGCCCTTCGGCATGGGAGCACCACCTGCTCAACCAGGGGCTCCTCCTGGACAGCAACCCCTGCCCACCGGACAGTATCCACAGTTCGCCATGTTCCAGCAGCCCATTGTCCAGGACATGGCCATGCAGTACGGCCAAAGGCTGGCGGATCAGGGCAAGCAGATCATGGAGAACCAGTTCGAGAAGTGGGTGCCGGTGGCCAAGCTCAAGTACTATTTTGCCGTGGACAATGCCTATGTGGGCCGGAAGCTGCGGCTGCTCTTCTTTCCCTATATTCACAAGGTGAGTGATTAGTAGACTTTGCATTTTGCATAGTTTTCCATTTTTTTCCGATTTTTACCAATATTTTTAGGTAGGTGTTTATGCATATGCATTTTATGCAAATATGCAAAAAAAAATAAAATATGCCATTAATTTTAAACTATATTTTTATTGAAACGAACTTTGGTGTTTTCGGAATCGATCTATCTTTTTCCTATTAAAATATGCAAAATCCGAGGTCTAGTGATTAGGCTTCCAAGTTGAAAGATTAACTAAACCATTAATGATAAACCTTTTTAGGACTGGTCCCTGCGCTACGACCAAGAGCACCCCGTGCAGCCGCGCTACGATGTGAATGCCCCGGATCTCTATCTGCCCACCATGGGCTACATCACGTACGTGATTGTGGCTGGCCTGCTGCTGGGCATGCAGAAGCGCTTCTCGCCCGAGCAGCTGGGCATCCAGGCATCCAGCGCCATGGCCTACAGCATTTTCGAACTGGTCATTTACTCCATAGCCCTGTACGTAATGAATGTGAAGACGAGCCTGAAGACTCTGGATCTGCTGGCCTTCACGGGGTACAAGTACGTTAATATAGTGGTCTGTCTGATGGTCAGCACGCTCTTCTTCAAATCTGGATATTATATTGCGCTGGCGTACACCAGTTTCTCCTTTGGCTTCTTCCTGGTGAGTTTTGGATAGGAGTTCATATGAGGAACGTTAAGTAATTTAAATTTCATCAATAGCTCCGCACATTGCGAACCAAGTTGCTGCAGGACAACTCACCGGCTGCTCCCAGTGGCGCCATCAACTACGATCCCTACGGAAATCCTCAGCAATTCGACTACAGCGGCGGGAAGAAGCGAAAGCTCTACTTCCTGTTCATGGTGGTCGTGGGCCAGGCGCTGTTCGCTTTCCTCCTCTCCAAGCATTTGTATCTGCCGGAGGCGGAGGTGCTTGCGATCCCGAAAACCTTCTAACCAACCGCCTAGATAGGCTAATTTGCAGACTCCTTGGGTTGAACCCCAGGCCAAGTCATTTCCAGCATGTTAAATCCCCTCAGATTCGCGTGAGATAAGCATATTTTTGTTAGAAACAACACACACGTTTTATAAATAAATACCAGCTATGAAATCGAATTTTTTATATAATTTTATTGAAATTTTAGTCTCTTTTACTGTAACGTGTTGGTTGGTTTTCTTTTTTGTTTGCTTGCTCGGCTCATTTGTTAACTTATTGGCTAAATTCGCAAATCGCCGCTAGTTTCTCCTGGTTTCGTTATAAAATATATGTGTGAGAGTGTGTCTGGCTGTATGAAATGTTTGTTGTGGGCTTCGGTTTTCAGATTTCCGCATTTAGTCTAATTTGTTCGGTTGTCTTCTGCGTCTGCGCGTCTGCATGCTAAAACGTTGCACTCGGCTTGCATCAAAAAATAAAAGGCATACGAATTTGTAGTAATAGTAATGATAACAGTTCCTACTTTAGGTTAGTTCGTGAGTTTACATAGTTAGATAGTTCGTCGTTGGTTAGTTTGGGGCCTCGACTGCAACTCAGTACATAGCACAATGTGAAAAACGTCCTCTTTTCATCTCATTCCTCTATTTGATTCGGCTTTTGTTTATTTTAGTTCGCTAATGCAGTTCGCTTCTTCGTTCTTTTGCTTTATTTTATCGTGTGTAGTGTAGGCTAGCACTTAGTAAATAGTTATAAACATGCTTTGCTTTGTTTTCAACAAATTCCACGTACTAAAAAAATAATACATTTACAACTAATAATTTAGATTAAACATATACGTTTGTTCTGTTTGCCTGATGCTGCGTATAGATCGTAGTTATGTTGTACATAGCTATATATCGTATATATATATCATTTATATATTACGGGTGTGTACGGTGTGTGTGTGTGTCTGTGTGTGTAGGTTCATAAACTCATTTAGGCTACATTTGGAATACAAAATACGCAACATAAAAACCATTAAAACTCTTGCTCCTATCAATAAATTATCGAAATCAATCGCCTAGCTTTAACCTAGATCACCGACTGCTTCTGCTGCATCTGCTGCTGCTCCTGCTGCTTGACAAGATTACGCTGATAGTTGACCAAGTCCACTTTATTGAACTAAATTACCGTCCCGCCGGGCGCCGCCGTCTGTCCAGGAGACAAGTGCTGAGTGGCATGCTGCGGAGGAGGATATTTATTAGAAAGGATATTCAAGAAAAATTATATTTTAAAATATCAAAGGGTTCTTGAAAGGAAAACCCTCTGAAAACCCTTTGCTTTCTACTAGAGCCCTGCGTGAATCATTCTTTTTTTGATTTATCATATTATACGCCATCAAATTTCTCATTTGCTGAATTCAATTCTATGTGAAATAAAATAAATGTTTTTCTAATTCATTTCGAATTGAATAAATAATTTTTATGAATTTTTGGAAAATGCCAGTTTTTTTTGTGCTTTCTTTTAAGAACAAAAAGTGGAACATTTTTAACAAATCAATGTTAACTGCTTGGTAAATAATATTCAGGCAGATTTAATCACAAAGTGAAGAGCCTTTCTTCTTCAAAAGAAATTGTCGTTTGAATTATTTTGGAATTTATGCCATTCAAAATTCAAATTCATTCAATTCTATTAAACTCAAAATTATAATTTTTAACAAGTCAATGTTAACTGCTTAGTGAATAAAATTCAAGCAGATTTAATCTCAAAATTATGGGCCTTTCTCCTTTAAAAGAAATTATCGTTTGAATGTCGTTTTCAGAATCCATGCCATTCAAAATTCAAATTCATTCAATTCTATTAAGCTCAAAGTTCAAATTAATTCATTCATATAAAACAAAAAATTCAAAATAATTCATTGAATCCATTCAAGCAGGGCTCTAGTTTCTAGAATCTAGTAAGGACTAACCGTTGCATGACCAGGCCGCGCCCAGGTGTATATGAATCCATCCTGGCAGGCCGTCAGGAAGCAGTCCTCGCGAAAGATCAGCGCCGTCAGCCGCTCGTGGGCGATCTTCTTGCAGACGAGCGGCTCCAGCAGCGGGCACTCGTCGAATCGCGGACAGGCGGGCGTTCCAATGAGTTGCATGGGATCGAAGCTGCTCACCCCCGATGCTCCTCCCGAAGCTCCCGATCCGGACGCATCCCGGGCGGCCGTGGCCAGCGAGGAGTGGTGCGACGAACGGCTCAGCTTCAGCGAACCAAAGCTGTGCGCCGTCGAGCTGCTCCCGATGGCCCCGGCCGCCCCCGAGTCCAGAGTGCTCGAGTTCACAAAGTTCGAGGAGCTGCTGTGGTTGCTCTGGTTTCCACCACTGTGATTATGCTGATTGTAGCTCTTCAGCATGCTCATCGCCTTGCGGTGCTGCCGGTGGGCCGTCGAGTGGCTGCCTTCGTAGCCAGCCTTCTTTTCCGAGCTGCTCAGGAAACTGAAGTTCGAGAGCCGCTGCGTGAGGCTATTAAAAGCGCTGAAGCCGCTGCCCGAATTGGAGGACTTGTTCGAGCTGTTGGAAGTCTTGCTGTTGTATCCCTGTCCACTACCTGCTCCTCCATCGATGCTGTCGGATTTGGTGGCACTGATGCAGTTGGGAAACTTGATTGAGTTGTTCTGCTTCGTGGAGGTCGCCGCTCCCTTTTCTGCTGTCGCGGAGGCGGGCGTGGCTGCCTCGGTGTCGCAGTCGTCGGGCGAGGATTGCGAGGATATCGTGCAGTTGGCGGTGGAGAACTTGCTGGAGCTGCTATTGCTGTGCTCGCCAGCGGCGCCGTTTCCTGCCGCCGCCGCCGCCGCTTCCCGCGTGGGACTGCTTTCGGCAGGCTGTCCCGACATGGCCACTGGCCGGATCACCTTGATGCCATCGTCTTCCTCCGCTTCCTCGTCGACTCCTCCATTAAGATAGCCCCTCAAAGCCAGCGGATGCCTTAGCACATCCTCCGTGATGTCCCACAGGCAGATCTGCGTGTCCTGGCTGACGCTGCCCAGGCGATAGCTCATCAGCTTCTCCGCCGACGAGGCGTCCGAGCGAAAGGAGGCCGAATGCGGTCGATTGCGGGCAGCATGCAGGGGCGTGGAATTCCTTTCGAAGCCCTCGAAGCCGCCGTTCGCCGTGGAATCGCCCGAGAAGCGCGCCTCTCGCGAATTGGCAAACTCGTTCATTTGATTCTCATCGTCGCTGAAGTCGCCACCATCCCAGTTGGCATACGAAGTGGTGTACGGATCAAAGGCCACCACCGAGACCCACGAACGATGGCCCTGGCCGCGGGCCACCACGCGACGCTCCTGTAGCGACCACACCGTCACCAAATCATCCTCGCCGCCCACCACAATGTACTTGCCGTCCGGCGACCAGCAGACGCACAGGAAGCCGCCGAAGTAGGAACGCGCGATGCCCAGCAGCTCCATCGTGTCGTAGTGAAAGACGCGCAGGAAGCCGTCCTGCGAGACCACCGCCAAGTGGGAGCCGCAGGGCGAGAAGCACAGCTCGTTCACGCAGCAGTTGTCGGTGCTGAAGACCCACTTGAAGAGCGGATTCCTCGTCGTCTTCGATTTACTGGTGAGTATCGTGTAGCCGTCGCCCAGCTTGAACGGCTGATAGCTGGGCGAAGTGGCGGCGCAGGGCAGCTCCTCGTTGTACAGGTACAAATTACCCGAGGCGTGGGCGGCGAGGAACAGGTGCGGTGAGTTGGGCAGCCACTTCAGGCAGGTCACTTTGGTCTTGTCGATGAGGCGCTGCAAAGGGATAACTATTAGTTAACTATTAAGGGGAAATATTAGTTCAAGTACTCACCTCCTCGTTGAAGAGCTTCCTCACCTCCCGCGGACCCATCTGCGGGGAGACCAACTGGATCTGGCCCGTGGTGAAGCCCACCAAAAGGGGCGCTCCCGTGGGCGTGGCCGCGCTCGCGTTGAAGTCGTGGCAGCTGGGATTGGTGCCCTTGTAGAACTTCTTATCGATCGGCTTGCTCATCTCGGTGCCCTGAAAGTAAGTCAACAAGTAAGTCACTATCATCTGTTTCTGTTTATCTTGCTCGTTCTGGATTGCACTACGTTTTTTTCTATTTTAAACTAATACTGGAGTGGTTGGCTATTTAATACGTAGTTTTTGGTGGCTATTCTTTGATGGAAAACTAATCATTTTGGAGATTTGGATGGGAAAACAAACCCAAACGGCAGGAATCTTATTACACTAGCAATATAACCTAAAGGCATAACAAACTCAATGTTTAGTGTAACAAAATGCTGAAGGTTTAAGTTTTCTAGTCAAACTTTTGAATGGGTATAAACAAATGAATGGATTGGGTTCTTTATCCATCCAAATTCCTAATAAATATTGTAAGCAAGGAAATATGAGTCAAAATAATAACATGAATCATCATTCTGGGTAAATCAAACCTAGAATATTTCATAATTAATGCTTAAAATCAAACAAGGGACAGAAATGTTTGTAATTGTAGGGAATGATGATAACTTAAGAGAAGTGTTTTTAACCACGATTGATTTTAAGAATTTGGTTTCCTAGTTTTGCAATTCAAAAGAACTGCGATAGCCAATGAAAACGAAAGTAGAAACCGGAACAGACCCCTAAATTTCCGCTTCAGCTGAGATTGGAATGGAAGATTACGCCCAGTGGGATGAAGTAATCTCGGAAATTAACACATTCTGGAAGGCGGAATGGAAATTAGCGGCTTGTTGGCGGAATCAGGTGGGAAAAGCGGCCGATTGGCCAAGTTTTTCCAGCTAGCAGCAGCAGATAACTATGGCAACAAAAGAAGCCAGCTAAAATAAATACAGAAGGAGAATCGCAAGCTGTTGCTGAACAGAAGGCCAAAGAATTAGAAACAGCTGCTGGGTAAGTACAGAAAAGAAATGAAGTCGAACTGGGATTACTCTTTCGCTGACTAACTTAAGTACAAAGGGAACTAGGGTAACTAAAGGTTAATAATTGGACAATGAAATGCAGGGTAAACTGCTCGCCGAGCAACAAATACAGACTGCCTTCGAGCGCAATAAACATTCATAAAAACGAAACCAAACAAGCGAATTGATCATGAAGCGCTCGAAGTGGAACAAATTAAGCCTTCGCTGGGGGGAATGCAAATGGCAAGGTATTCAATTGGCTGCTGCAATTGCATTCCCCTATCTCTGGTGTGATAAGCTAGCTGCTCCTCCTCCGATTCACGTGATTTTTCCCTCACCTTCTTGGCTCCTCGAAAGGAGTAGACATAGAGATCCCTTCCGAAATTAAAGCAGATGCGATCGCCTCCGAGCACCTGACTGGTGGCCACTCCGTTCTGGTCCACCACGCCGCCGTTCATCATGGAGTGCATGGAGATGCCTCCGCCCAGGCGGGCGTCCACTGTGCTGTTCGCAGGAGCACTGCTGTTGCTATTGTGGTTGCTATAATTGCTGTCTCCGCCGGCGCCTCCATTGGATATTGCTGGTGCTGCTCCTGATCCTGCTCCTGCTCCTCCTCCCGCTGGCGAGGCTCCCGGCGAGCTGCCATTCGTTGTGGCTACTGGGGAACCCGCTGCTGCTGCTCCTCCCGTTTTTGGACTGGGCAGCGTCACCATGGAGACGCGCACCTGCGGCGAGCTCTGGTTGCTGCTGTAGCCCACGCGATTGGGACGCGAGTACTCCGAGAGGGTCAGCAGGCGGTAGGTGCCCTCGCGGGTGACGAACTGCGTCTTCAAATCGTCCTTTGCACTGGCGTCCAGTTGGTTGGCCATCGCTTCGCCAATCCAATGTAATCCAATCCGCTGGAGCACCAACTCAGCCCATGTGAATGTGGCCACCTAGGTGCCCAGTGGTGCTAGTGGTGGCCTCTGTGGTTGCTCCTCCTCCTGGTGCACCACCAATTAACCGCCCTTTGCCTGTTTTCCTCTTATAATTAGATTTAATTCCTTCACTTTCGAGGGGCTCTGCTGGCTATGTTGTTGTTCCTGCCTTTCGAGCTGCCTGATTTTCCGTCTTTTCCGGCCACTGCGCTGGTTGCCTGCATCACGGCGTCGTGGCGGCGGTTGGGGGGGTGACGGCGGTCGCGGTTATCGCATCGGCCGCACGCTCGCTTTTTATTCCGCACAAATTACTTAATTTATTTCTAATTTCTGATTGGGATGCCAGTGTGGCCGTCGCTGCTCTCAAATGTTGCTGGATGGTCTCACTAAAAGTGACGCAGGGTTAGCCGAGACACGAACCGTACACGGCGTCATTTTTAGCGTGACCATATTCCCAATGGTTTGTGTCTCCGCTAACCCGGCGTCATTTTTAGTATAACCATATTCCCATGGCTTGTGTCTCCGCTAACCCGGCGTCATTTTTAGTGAGACCATGCTACTTTATCTGGTATTTTTAGTGAGAGATGCCAGACTGTCAACGGAAAGGGCGGGCTTTTTAAATTGCAATGAGAACCAACATACGAACAAAGAAATAAAGAACGTTAGGCAGAAGTGACTTGCGTTGGAAATTATCGCTATTTATTTTTATGCCGTTATTTCAATTTTAAATTCATTTTTAAATTTTAATTTAGGTAATACGATTTTAAAGAACTTATAAAGCTCTAATTTCAAAGGGTATAAAAAGCTTGCTTTCCAACAGTAAAAGATAAGCTTCTTTGCTGAAGAAGTGACTTAAGCCACTGTAAATTTTTGTGTGTTTGAACTGAATTAATCTGGTAGATTCCTGAATTTAAGAGATAAGAACTAGCTTAGCTTTATGCTGCTGATCAGTCCACTTTTTTAAGTACACGAATAGTATCACGCTGTCCTAGGTTCTGCACAGTTCGACTTAATACTTTGATTCGATTCCATTAATACTTTCAACATGAGGAGTTTCATTGCTATCTTCTTTTTAATAAATGTTTTGTTGCTTCTAATTCCCTCATCCTTTGGTGATGTAAAGGTAAATATAATATTGGTTTGTATTTCTAATCAAATATTTGTCTAAAACTTAGCGAGAAAGCTTAACATATTTTAATTTAAATAAATTTATTTTTATCTTAGGTATTGGTAGAAGATGATGCGAATGGAAGACTGAATGAGATGGAAAGCCACGCTGCACGGATAGTCAAGAGAAGCCCAGTGAAACAAACAAATAGAAAGCCAACAACAAAAAACCTTATAATGCGCCAATGGGATGGTAAACTGTGAACTCAGAAGCTAAGTCAAAAAGCTCTTGTCAGTGAAGTTGGTAAAAGGCTCTGAAATGCATAAAAAAACCGTTAAATAATTGTTATTTGGGACAAAAAATAAAAATAATTAAAATCGCTGCATTCATGTCAGTGGAATCATGCTATTATTATTTATAACCAGTACTGTCAGACTACCGGAAATATTTGTTTAATAAGAGAGCTGTCAAATTGCTTACAGAATGGGGCGGGATATATACATTTCATTGAAAACTAGCATTTTTACAATGAACTTTCTTAACAGAACTTCTTTTAAGAAAATTTTTTAGGTTTTAGTAAATTTTATTAAAACGTTTTCTTTTATATATATTATTGTTTGTTTTTTAAGTTCTTTTCTGGCTTACCTCGTATAACTTTTCCATTATTTATTTTCTTCCACGCTGTCAATGGGCCAACCAAAGAAATAAAGAACGTTCTACAGAAGTGACTTGTGTGTATGGTGTTAGCCGGAAATGCATTTGGCATGTCCTGCGAAATTGGCCAAGTGAAGAAGAAGAATGAAGCTGCTGCTGTATTGTTGCCTTTCCTTTCCGCCTTTTACTTGCCCTCCATTTTCTTGTTACTTTGCGCTGCCAATTGCATTCGCATTGGAGTTTCCTGCTAAATCTCGTTTCGGACATATGTCTTTTGTCTTGGCATTGTCACCCCAGGAATTTCGCCCTTTTAGCTTATTCCCCCGGTCAAGAGTGAAATGGGTAAACATGTAGCGACCTCGAGGGGCGCATCGAACTCGAATCAATCACGAGCGATTGATAAGAAAGGGCCACTTGAGTGGGGTATAAAAAGCGACTGCAACAGCTGGAGAACCACCCACAAACTCCACAAACCATGAGTCGACTGCAAGGTGAGTTCATTCCGTCGGTTGATTGTAGAATCTCACAGAACTAAAGCTGATTTCTATCCGATTAGCTTTGCTTTGGCCCCTCGCCTGCTGTCTGCTGCTTCTAGTAGTCCTACATCCTTCCGGAATCCTGTCGCAGTGCAACGATACAACTCAGCCGGGCTGCCTTCATCAGGCGGAACTAGGAGTCGCCCAGCGCCATTGTCTGGACCCCACGAAGTACTGGCTCTGCACGGCCATTGGCCAGAAGGCCGAGCTCAAGAAGTGCCAGCCGAACACCGGTTTCGACCAGGATCTCAACGCCTGCGTGCCCTGGATCGCCTGGGTTTGGCAGCCATGTCCGGAGCCGCCAAGTCGTCCTCCGGGCTGGGAACACTGTTAAATTATTGGCCCAAGGAATGTCATTTTAAACTGTACCCACAAAATGTAATTAATTTGATTTTAAATTTAAAGCCTTCTAAATAGACTTTATAAATAATTATTATTTTCCACTAATATACATTTAACATTTTGATGACAAAAAAAGTTCCCAAATTGTTGCCGAATTATGGCTAATTTTCTTATTTATGTGAGTATGTTACAAAATATATAATTTTTTTTCCTCATTAAAATTTGTTTGTGCTGGCTAAACAAGCAATCTAAATAACCAAAATAATGTAAATTCACACGTATGTGGGTTAATATACATTTGCATTTTTAATGCTAAAAAACTAATAGGTATGATTGGAATATTAAATACATGCTAATTTATTAGTTTTGCATGTTCAACTATTTGTATAATAACATCTGTGTCCCAAAAATGCAGTAAGCCATAAAAGCTTTAAATACAAAATTTGTAAACATTTATTGTCACGCACTTAAACCTGAATTATGCGAATTAGGTTATTTATTCGACAAAAAAAATATATTAAAGGCTAATATAAATAAACAATGTGTTTATGATTATTTAAATGAAGGCACTTTAATCAAAAATTAAATAAATTTGTCAAATAAAAATAAAAGTAGAGGTCACTCATCAAACATAAAATACATTTTTCACAGAAAACTAAAAGTAGAGAACAATTTAAGACAATTTGTAGTACTGTTTCTATTACTTGCTTTACAAATATTTGTTTTAAAGATTAATTTCTATTTTTGCATTTTGTTGTTTTTTCAAATTGTAAAGATAAATATATTTTCTAGTAATGATTTTTGTAGTGCATCCAAAGCTAATAAAGGAAGCGGCGTGAATGTGTCAATTAGTTGTCTTGCTTTCAGATCGTTGCCAAATATTTATTTGAAGCAGTATACATATCTCCAGGTCCCCCAGTTCCCCTCTCGTTTTATCTGGGGCAATGTCAAGAGCAAGATCCCCGAGAAACAGAGAGAGATAAGTCCCCGATATCTCTGTGCGTGAGTCATATTTATGATCCGCACTCTTTTCTCTCAGTGCCCGGGAAGGCCGAGAGGGCGGAAGATATAGTGGGTTTATAAGTACTTTTATGGCAGCGCAGTGTGTGATGATCCGCCGATAGCCAGTTGCAATTACTGTTGCAATTGTTAACGCCGTGCGGCTTCTGACGGCAGTTAAGCGCCCCTGAATGACGGCTGCCACGCCCCCTTTTCGGGAGGGTATTTGTCATAAATCAATATGTGAGACCCGTGAGACCCCCGGGAGTTTGCATACGACCTCCTCACCCATTTCACTCACTCTCTCTCTTTGGCAATAAGTTGCACTATTTTTGATGCGCTCGCCCGTGCATTTGCTGCAAGCATTTTATTTCATTTCACAGTTGTCAGTCAAACGCTTTGTCAGGCCGGCGAGCACATCAATAAGCGGCTGCAAAAAAATACGATTCAATTGAATTTTTATTTCTCGCTTTTTGCGCCGACATTCGATGTGCGTGTGAGAACCAACAAAATATTTGCATGTAAAAGAATTTTCCGCCAGCCAAGCAGAGCAGAGATCCCCAAAAGGGCAGAACGGAAAGAGAGGTAAAAATTGTGAAATGAAATTTTAGCATACGTGACGTATACGCAATATATTTAATTGCATTGAAGCCGCCTCTTTGTTTTCCATTCCGCTTAATCTGCCAGCTGCAAAGTATGTTTTTAAAGTGAACAAAAAAACACGTTTAAACTTTAAATTTGCGGCGTTTTTACCTGCTAAATAAATGGCCTTGTCTTTGGAAAATCTCAAAATGCTCGGGAAATGCTACAAATGCCACACGAATTAGCATAAATCACTTTGGAGGGCATACTAAGGCGCAAGGACAACGTTTCTCTTCCTCCGGTAGCTTCATTTAATGGCAGACATTAATAACCCTATTTAATTTATGGCCCAAAACTAACAAAAGCCCAATCCGAGCTACAAAGGTTACGAAGGGAAAGGAATGGAAAGGAGGAGGCCTCTTTCCCAACTACAAACTGCAACTTCGCTGTGCAGTGCAATTACTCAAGTGCGCCAGGAACTAATGTGGCTTAAGGCGCCTCCCTTTGGGGCCAGGTGGAAAATTTGTTGCTGGCCCAGCCCCAAAAATGCCTTTGAGGCAGTGTTTTGAATTAATTAGCCAGCGTAGGCAGCGCTTGGCTTTGGCCAAAGCAACAACGTGGCTCCTCCGCTTGTTTGCGGCCTGTTTCGGCTATCTCTGGAATTAATTTACAGCTGCCGTTGATGTCATGAATATGCAAGCAGGTTGGTTTTCGGGATGGGGATGAACTGAGGGTGGATATATCAGCCCACCTGGACAGTTCAGCCGCTCGAGCGGAAGAAACAACAATTGGGCAAACAAACAGCGCCATAAAATGCCAGATGAGCTTATCGCGACCACAGCATCGCAGCTCAGTTCCGCTCGATAAGATTTTGTATAAAAAGCGGTTCCCAGATTAGCATAGGTCAGTCCAAAGAAAGTATTCCTCCAGTCAAGATGAACTTCCTGCCTCTGTTCGCTGTTTTCCTGATCCTGGGTTGCTTTTCCTTTTCGGAAGGAGCTGCTGTAGGCAAACCCACTGGACAACCTGGCTGTTTGACGGCCGAGGAAGTGGAGGTTAAATTCTATCCCCACTTCTACCTGAAGAGCTCCTACTGGATTTGCTCCACCCAGGGAGTTCCTGCCACTTTGGGGCAGTGTGTTGTGCCCTCTGCGTATTTGGACTCCGCCAAGGCCTGTGTTCCCTGGTCGGAATGGTACTGGACACCCACTGTCCAGCCGCCCAGTCAACCTGAGGTTGCTGCCTAAAACGGGAAACTTCACTCTTTAAATGGTCACAAAATAAATAAATAATAAATAAAATCTAAAGCAATATTGGTTGCCTTATTTATATTACATTTGCAATTGCAAGGGAAAATCATTTGCAGCTCTGTAAAATATTTACTCTCTAATTGTTACTGGGCAATGCTTAAGATAGGAGCATTTTTTTTTAGCAAATAATTGTTTTTCTGCATGTCTGGTGTGCAAATCATTATGACAAATACTTGGTTGGTTACTAGCTTTCCCAGATAAGTGGATAAATATTTTTGCTGTAATGCCGCCTGATCATTGAGATACGTAAGATATCTAGTGGAATTTTTTTTAGAGTAATACATATTTGCTACAGCTCAGAGCAAAAAGTTTAGATAAGTTTTCCCTGACACGTTCTTTTAATATTTATTTTTTCAAAATCGTTTAATATAAGGAAAAAAGTTTTGATTATAATAAAATTTAAAAATTCCTAAGTTGTATGATATAGTTTAGATTCATTTGCTATTTTCTAAAAGTAATATATTTTATTAAATTCTTCAATACAGTAAATAAATGATAACTTTCAATAAATTAAATAAAAAACCATTTAAACCTATTTCTTTCCTTATTTTTCAGCCATGTCTGGAAGGGACTACAACGGCGAGCCGGGCTGTCGAAGTCCGGAGGAGCTGGACCAGAGCTATCGTCGGGGGTGGGGGGAAGAAGGAGGCGGAGCTGCGCCGCTGTCCCGCCAACGAGCTGTTCTACGACCGCGAGCGGCGATGCGTGAAGTGGAAGGACTGGCAGTGGACCGAACCGCAGGATCCGCCCACAAAGCCGCGCAAATAAAAGAGGGCGTGGAGGCGGATGTGTGCGAATGTATTGAAACAAATTGTCGAAAATATAATTAACAAGAAAGGAAGTTAACTTCGGTCAGCCGAAGTTTATATACCCTTGCAGTTATAAGAAATAGTCAATGTTAGTAACATCATGTTAAATTTTTAAGGATTGTTGCTAGCTTCAGTGAGATAAAAATATTTCACGTACTCAGCCCCCACACCACGACAAGGTCACAATCCACGAGGGGGAAATTATTATCATTTATTTATATATATTTATACAATTTTTCAGAACTACGTAGATAAATAACATAAAATAAATAAATTAGGAATACCATAAAAATACAAATATACAATACGCTATACACAATTAGTTATTTTTCTAACCTTTTAACCTTACAAGCTATACTTAAAAAAAATTCCATCGTGGTGGCTATAGGGGGTCTCATAGGTAATGGCAAGAGCTGATGGAATTCGAGAATCTGAAAATATCCAATCAATTTGTGTTAATTGTTTCGTTGTGGGAGAATCATTGATTGAATAGAGGTTAAAGGCATTTAAATGTTCCTCCAGAATATCAGTCCCTGTGGATCTGCAAATATTAAAATCTCCTAATATTACTACTTTAGTATTATCCATTCTGCGCACCTTTTCGACGTCAGATTTAATTTCATTTCGAAATCTTGCAATGGGAAATCCGGGACTCCTATAAACAATTATAAATGACGTGTCAAGATAATTAAATGCAATCGATTGATACGTTGCCCTTGGATTTTGAGACTTCTTTGTCTCAAAAAGAAATACTACATTTTGCGAAATGTTTTGCTTAGCATAAATTAGTATTCCGTTCTTCCCAAGACCATTCAAACGATTGCTATCAATTCTTTTTATAATGTCGAAATCCCTTAAATTGTACTCTTCTTGTGGAAGAGTCCAGGTTTCAACAAAACATAAAAAGTTCGCAGAACAAATAATGTTGTCGTTGGCAACATCTTCGCGATGAGCGCGAAGAGATTCCACGTTGTGGTAATATAAAGAGATATCCTCATTTTCATTGACCAAAAATTCATATTGCGTAGTCAAAGCCTTTTCCCCTCTTAAACTTGCAAGTTCTTCTTGGACATTTGTAGCTCCAAAACTAGTTGGAGGGACAAAGTCTCCTAAAAGGAAAAGACCCGATGCGCTAGTTGCTCTGCTGCAACCTACGTAGAGCGGTGCTCGCTTAATGCCTCTTTTAAGATGCACTGCGACTTTGCTGTAGGTTGCTCCTTGGCTCTTATGGATGGTAATAGCCTCAGCAGGAACAACTGGAAATTGTTTTCTATCAATAGAGGAATGCGCCGAAGTCCCGCATTGGAATACTCGGGCTGTTTTATAAATTGGAGTCCAGTCTGGGTGATCATTTCCTCGAACTTTTGACCTAGCTATAGTACCGACAGTGGAATCTGTAAACTTAATCCACAGTCCAGTAACTAATAATGAGCCGTTAACTATACTGTTGTCAATTCGCATTAATTGACCAGTTGCCCCATTTACAAGTCCGTCATTTGTGTCAATATTGACGGTAACCATATATTTTGCTGTTGTCTTCAGGTGTAAAATATATGGTAGACCCTGAGTTTCAGCGGTCTTCATGTTTTGGGCACGTCTAAGAGTTGATTCTCGACTGTTTTCAGACATATTAGCTGCTTTAACTGTATCTACTGCAGTTGACACAAATTCTTCAGTCCTAATTTGGGCAAGCTTAAGGGAGTTGTAATCGTTTACCTCAGCATTAGAACCGAATAAATGAATTGCGTCGTCGGGAACATCGGTTACTGAAACAACTCTTGTCCTGAAAAGCTCAATATCAGCATCTGACATGTTGGCTTCAGACATATTATTCAAAGCCAAAGCAAAAGCGTGGTCGTCACGTTGCCGCATTATTTCCGTTAGCTCAAAAAACTTAAAATTATTCCAAAGGCTTGCTCCTGCCAGAACATTATAGGGATTGGATGCATCCCCTGCGAATATCCAACGATCTCCAACTGGGCTAAGCTGCTTTAGATCTCCAAACACTATTATAGACTTGCCTCCAAAACGTATATCTTGACTTCTAAAAATTTGACGAAGTCTTTGATCTAAGAATCCAAGCATTTTGGACCCGACCATCGAGATCTCATCTATAACAAGAAAGGAAGTTAACTTCGGTCAGCCGAAGTTTATATACCCTTGCAGTTATAAGAAATAGTCAATGTTAGTAACATCATGTTAAATTTTTAAGGATTGTTGCTAGCTTCAGTGAGATAAAAATATTTCACGTACTCAGCCCCCACACCACGACAAGGTCACAATCCACGAGGGGGAAATTATTATCATTTATTTATATATATTTATACAATTTTTCAGAACTACGTAGATAAATAACATAAAATAAATAAATTAGGAATACCATAAAAATACAAATATACAATACGCTATACACAATTAGTTATTTTTCTAACCTTTTAACCTTACAAGCTATACTTAAAAAAAATTCCATCGTGGTGGCTATAGGGGGTCTCATAGGTAATGGCAAGAGCTGATGGAATTCGAGAATCTGAAAATATCCAATCAATTTGTGTTAATTGTTTCGTTGTGGGAGAATCATTGATTGAATAGAGGTTAAAGGCATTTAAATGTTCCTCCAGAATATCAGTCCCTGTGGATCTGCAAATATTAAAATCTCCTAATATTACTACTTTAGTATTATCCATTCTGCGCACCTTTTCGACGTCAGATTTAATTTCATTTCGAAATCTTGCAATGGGAAATCCGGGACTCCTATAAACAATTATAAATGACGTGTCAAGATAATTAAATGCAATCGATTGATACGTTGCCCTTGGATTTTGAGACTTCTTTGTCTCAAAAAGAAATACTACATTTTGCGAAATGTTTTGCTTAGCATAAATTAGTATTCCGTTCTTCCCAAGACCATTCAAACGATTGCTATCAATTCTTTTTATAATGTCGAAATCCCTTAAATTGTACTCTTCTTGTGGAAGAGTCCAGGTTTCAACAAAACATAAAAAGTTCGCAGAACAAATAATGTTGTCGTTGGCAACATCTTCGCGATGAGCGCGAAGAGATTCCACGTTGTGGTAATATAAAGAGATATCCTCATTTTCATTGACCAAAAATTCATATTGCGTAGTCAAAGCCTTTTCCCCTCTTAAACTTGCAAGTTCTTCTTGGACATTTGTAGCTCCAAAACTAGTTGGAGGGACAAAGTCTCCTAAAAGGAAAAGACCCGATGCGCTAGTTGCTCTGCTGCAACCTACGTAGAGCGGTGCTCGCTTAATGCCTCTTTTAAGATGCACTGCGACTTTGCTGTAGGTTGCTCCTTGGCTCTTATGGATGGTAATAGCCTCAGCAGGAACAACTGGAAATTGTTTTCTATCAATAGAGGAATGCGCCGAAGTCCCGCATTGGAATACTCGGGCTGTTTTATAAATTGGAGTCCAGTCTGGGTGATCATTTCCTCGAACTTTTGACCTAGCTATAGTACCGACAGTGGAATCTGTAAACTTAATCCACAGTCCAGTAACTAATAATGAGCCGTTAACTATACTGTTGTCAATTCGCATTAATTGACCAGTTGCCCCATTTACAAGTCCGTCATTTGTGTCAATATTGACGGTAACCATATATTTTGCTGTTGTCTTCAGGTGTAAAATATATGGTAGACCCTGAGTTTCAGCGGTCTTCATGTTTTGGGCACGTCTAAGAGTTGATTCTCGACTGTTTTCAGACATATTAGCTGCTTTAACTGTATCTACTGCAGTTGACACAAATTCTTCAGTCCTAATTTGGGCAAGCTTAAGGGAGTTGTAATCGTTTACCTCAGCATTAGAACCGAATAAATGAATTGCGTCGTCGGGAACATCGGTTACTGAAACAACTCTTGTCCTGAAAAGCTCAATATCAGCATCTGACATGTTGGCTTCAGACATATTATTCAAAGCCAAAGCAAAAGCGTGGTCGTCACGTTGCCGCATTATTTCCGTTAGCTCAAAAAACTTAAAATTATTCCAAAGGCTTGCTCCTGCCAGAACATTATAGGGATTGGATGCATCCCCTGCGAATATCCAACGATCTCCAACTGGGCTAAGCTGCTTTAGATCTCCAAACACTATTATAGACTTGCCTCCAAAACGTATATCTTGACTTCTAAAAATTTGACGAAGTCTTTGATCTAAGAATCCAAGCATTTTGGACCCGACCATCGAGATCTCATCTATTATAATTAATTGAATATCAATCAACTTGCAATGCATTGTATTTAAAGTGTCATTGCTTAAGGGTCTTAAGGGACCAGATGATTGATTAACAGGAAGGGAGAAAACTGAATGAAGCGTTAGTCCCCCAATCCCAAAAGCTGCTTTTCCAGTAGGAGCACAAAGTAAAACCTTTGCAGAATCTGTTGCCCCAGCAAGTTTATTTGCCCGCCAAGTTATAGACTGAAATATTGTCGAAATCAATCTGCTTTTTCCTACTCCGGCCCCTCCACCAACATATTCATAAAAAGTTTTTTTGGCTGCAACATTATGCATTACGTGTGCGTAATACTGGCGTTGTTTAAAGTTTAGAGACCGGGTAAGCGAGCAAAGGTTATCGTCAGATACCATCGGAGGAAGTCTTATAAGAGGAAGTTCGCCATCTTCTGGATTATTTGCAGCATTGTCATCTTGGAGTACATTAACGTTTTGTCCGACGTCGGGTACTGCCAAAGCCCTGAATTCTTCATCAAGGTATTGAGAAGCTGGCCCCTCGGGAAGGGGGCCATTTTCTTCTCTATCAACATTTTGCAGATCTTGAAGAACTCTCTCTAATTCCATGTCGTCAAACACATCATACTGCTCTTTGTTGCGTTTAATAATTTCAAAATTATTCCTAAATGTGCTTTCATTGTCGTTTGAAATGAGTTCCGTCTCTTCACTTCTCCATGGGAAGAAGAGCATTACGTGCTCCCTAAAATAATCTGATGGAGAAGAGTTTAGACTGAAGCGAACCCACCTAAGAATAAGGGCATGATTACGTCTTTTTACACTACCAGTCCCATCTAGCATTGGGTAACTTTGAGCAGCAACGTTATTTTCTTCATCTGCATCAAAGTCGATTGGTTCGTCATATTCTTCGTTTGACTGTTCCGATCGTGCATTTGGCTTGGAGAATTTGAACCAAGCCGCAAATTCCGCAAGACATAACGACTCTAGTTGTTCATGTCTTTGCACGTATCGATCAAGTAAGTTTCGCTCAAAAATATCTGTTGAGTTTTCGGGTAGCTGTTCTAATACTCTGTTAGATCGCACTATCCGGACCCTTTTATCTGGATGGCAAGTGTTTATAAAAATATTTCCTTCACTAGCCTCAGACATGTGTAGCCCTAAAATATTGTAAGCTGCTTCTTGGGCAGATATTTCTGTAGCGTTAATAAACTTGCTCCCTAAATGCTGCAATTTTCTTTTGACGGAAATATTTCCATGGGTCATTTCTGTCATTGCTTCTCGAAGCAGTTGCGACACACCACGGTTGGATTTGTTTATGTAGTTAATAATATAACTACAACAGGCGTAAGCATCTAGGATAAATTGAATATCCATGTTAGCTCTATGCAAGCCTAAAATATTTCTATTATAAGCATTCAGCAACCTATCAGAAAACTGACGTCGAAGAAATACTTGGGGCTTTTTTAAGCTAGAACGAATGGCGAACTTGTATTCCTCATATGAGATTTCAAGATGGCTGAGGAAATATTCAAAATTATTAAACATGGCCGATTCTTCTTCGGAAACAGTCTTTAAAAGCTCTTTAACTTTCTTAAATATTTCTTTATATTCTTCAACGTTGGTTTCGTTTTCTTCAAACGGATACAAAACCAGAGTTTCAGGCATTGGTGGGTATGGCATATTAAAACGGCAGAATTGTTGGCCTCGTAGTTCCCTTAAACATGAAGCGCTGTGCTTATGGCGCTGATATTGAATTACTTCTTGCAATTCAGGATCGTCCCCGCTGGCAGTAATAAACCGATCTATAAAGCTGGCGACTTCTTCGGCGTTATCGGGTCCTTCTAGTTTTGGGGCACCAGAAAACCAGTACATGCCATGAGAGTGCGGCGATCCTCTGTGCTGGAACTCGATCCTCCAATAATAATGGACCAGTCTTAACTCACCAAATATCTCTGAGCTTTTGAACAATTTCATTAATTGTCGGAACCTGTAGTCAAAGTACCGGGAGCATGTTACTGGGTCTGAGCGGATTAATCTAGCTTTTTCGGCGCTAGATAGAGCTGCCGCCTCCTCCTCGCTAATGTCTCTGTTATCCAATAAAAGAGATAGAATAACTAGCAGTTCGTTCCATTTAGATTCAGCAGCAGAGAGGGTTATGAAGAATGTTGGCAACCCAAATTGTCTAATCATGGCTATAACTTTCTTTTTTCGGCCTCCCAGTGGGCTGGAGCTGAACGGAGGCCTTTTAAAATATGAAATCCATCATCATGCTGTACAAGACTGTCAACGAATGAATTATCCCTCACATTTGCAGCAGTTACGGTACCTGATTTTTTTCGTAGGGCAATGGAAATGGAACTTTGAATTCGCTGCATTTCATAAAACTTGTACATGTAAAGGACTTTGGGTACTATTGCGCAACGACGGTCGTAAAAACGAATTTGCGACCTAGCTTTTTTTGCATAGGTCGAATTCCCCTTAAATATTTCGCCGCAAGAAATAGTCGGGAAGGAAAGTTCTTCTGCGTCGTCGTCAAGGGTTAAGTTTGTTGGAATGCGGCCTTCCCCAGGGGCCATAGCAATACGCTGAAGTCCAGTATCGTCGTTTTCCAATAGGGTTTCATGACCTCCAGGATTTAAATCTCCTTCTTGTTGGTCATTTGACTGAGAATGAGAACGTTGACGAAGAAGCTGTTCTACAACTTCTCGGTCAGATTCATCTGCGATGAAAGGTATCTCTTCTTCAGCACCCATTTGATTGAGCCAATCACCGTCAAAGGATATGTTGTGCTTCCTGTAGAGCTCAGTGCTAACCAAATATCGCACAGCTTCAATGACCCGAGCGGGTCGAATAGTTTCGGTCATGAAATTATGGGAATATTCTAACTTTCTTTTCAGGTGAACCTGGATCACATGGGTCGAATCAAAGGTGCGCGGGAGTGCGCTTACAGTATCAGGTACTGAAATCGGAACATTGACTACAGCTCCTCTTATTCCGCATTGCCTCTCATATCCAAGGGATATAATGCGCATGAAAGGAATTCGAGGAGAGATAAGGCGCTCTTCAAGGCATGTCAAGTTTTTAAGGCATTCAGGTATCTCTGGAAAGTCGAAGCCATTCGAGAGACAAAGGGATGGTATCCTACCTTTGGAAACGCCTTGACGACATGTGCTACAAAATTGATATTTGCCGGACGGACTCGGAAACTTTCTACTTAAATAGAAGGCATTGTCTACACTAAGGTTGGGGTACTTAGAAGAAATAGTACGTATGTTCAAACCACTTACCTGAGATGGAAACCACGTTCCTCCACAGCACGTACAAAACTTTGTTGGTCCGTCCTTAATGTTACGTAGATATTGTTCCCTCGCAGTAGCTCGACTCCTCCGTCGCTGGCGTTCCCGTTGATCCTCTCGTTCATCCTCCGAAAGTTGTGCTCTTCCAGCAATATTGCGCTGTGACTGCCTTGAAGATTCCGCCTGTCGATTTTGTGAATTAGACCTATAAGTCAATAGTCGCTCCTCAGCCATTTCCTGAATTTGCTGCTCCCGAAGTCTCCTCTGAAGACGAGTTTCCCGATGATGCACTGTGTTGGTCCTTTGCTGCTGTGTCCTAGCGATGGGGTTGTTCCTTGTGATCCTGTGAGCTGCAGCATCCCGAACGCGTTCGGGTCCTCGATTCTCCTCGATCGATCTCCAGGTAGCATGGTCAGCAGTATTTTGCACCTGCTGTCGTCGTCGCTCCTCGGAATCCGACCTAGTGATTGCGTGCGCTGCAGTATTCTGCACTTGCTGTCGTCGTCGCTCTTCCGAATTCGACCTGACCCTGGCGTGGGCTGCAGCATCCCGAGCGCGTTCAGGTCTCCGATTCTCCTCGATCGATCTCCAGGTAGCATGGTCAGCAGTATTTTGCACCTGCTGTCGTCGTCGCTCCTCGGAATCCGACCTAGTGATTGCGTGCGCTGCAGTATTCTGCACTTGCTGTCGTCGTCGCTCTTCCGAATTCGACCTGACCCTGGCGTGGGCTGCAGCATCCCGAGCGCGTTCAGGTCCTCGATTCTCCTCGATCGATCTCCAGGTAGCATGGTCAGCAGTATTTTGCACCTGCTGTCGTCGTCGCTCCTCGGAATCCGACCTAGTGATTGCGTGCGCTGCAGTATTCTGCACTTGCTGTCGTCGTCGCTCTTCCGAATTCGACCTGACCCTGGCGTGGGCTGCAGCGTCCCGTGCGCGTTCGGGTCCTCGATTTTCCTCGATCGATCTCCAGGTAGCGCGATTGGCAGTATTCCTCAATCGTTCGCTGGCTCGAATCCTTTCACTTCTCCTTCTTTGAGAGCGAGCAGCGGAATTTTGCGAGCGAGCTACTTCTGCTACCTCTAAATTACTTGCGCGGGCCAAGGCAATGTGCCGCGCATTGCGGGTCCTTATTTCAGACGCATTTTGAGCATATTGGGATCGGCTTCGTCTAAGTGCAGCTTGGCGGCGCTGCTCTTGAGATAAAGAAGATACGCGCGGCATTCTCTTTATTTTGCTGTTAAAAATAAATGTATAAAGTAAGGGGTTATGATAAATATTATGATTACTTTTATAAAACCTTAAAAACCTCAGACAATTTCATAAATGCTTAAACTTGATTTAGTTTGCTAATTACACCAAAATCCCTTTGGTCTGAATTTGGGTGAAATATTTATTGTTGATGATATACATTCCACCTGAATTTCACCAGTAGATTTAATCAATTTAAGGGATAATTTTAATTATTTGATAAATTGTTTGAGGTTCAATAAAATTGATGAATCATGTTTTGCTTTATAAAAATACTTACCAAATGAAGAAAAGTATATTAATACTTTATTATTTTCAGTTTGCACACTTTTTCACTTTTTTTGGTTTTTTATTCACTTTTCACTTTTTATGGTTTTATGTTTACTTTTCACCTTATACTTTTTGGTGGGCTTTTATGTACTTTTCACTTTATACTTCCGGTGTAAAGATATTAACTGAGTATAAAACATACGCACAATAAAGAAATACTGGTATACGTTGTCACTCGGCAACTGTTTTTCACAGACTAATCCGGGGATTAGGATTACGAGTCAATATATAGGGTTAGATTATACCTGCTATCAACCTTCGGATAACCCTTTTGATGGCGACCAATGTCCGATTTTAGGGACAATTCTTAGGTGAATTAGGTAAACCGGATTGATTACCTACTTTAAGGATTGTGTAATAACTCAATTATTACCTGTTGTCTAGGTTCGTATCAACCTTATTGTGTTTATTTCTGTAATTTAAAATAGGAAAAACGGGTATACCTAGGTGGTCTACCTTAAAATTTGGACACGTGTACACCGGTTCCATTCGACACCTGACACCACCCCATTCAGCATAATAATAACCCTTTTGATGGCGACCAATGTCCGATTTTAGGGACAATTCTTAGGTGAATTAGGTAAACCGGATTAATTACCTACTTTAAGGATTGTGTAATAACTCCATTATTACCTGTTGTCTAGGTTCGTATCAACCTTATTGTGTTTATTTCTGTAATTTAAAATAGGAAAAACGGGTATACCTAGGTGGTCTACCTTAAAATTTGGACACGTGTACACCGGTTCCATTCGACACCTGACACCACCCCATTCAGCATAATAATATAGTCGATAGATTTTTTATAAAATATGATTCGTAATTCTGAAATGTTAAAATTCTATATCCCAGAGTAAAAGAGAATACGATCAAAGTCAACAAAGCAAAACATTTTATACAATAATTTCGTTATTTTTTGACCGTTTCTTTGACATTTATTTGATAGGGTCATCCGACTTTTATTAAATTGAATTGGAAATTCTTTAAAATAAAAAAAATTATATCCCGAATAGTATAAGATAATATGTCAAAAACACCAAAGCTATAATTTTCTATTCCTCGAAGCTGTTTAAATTTCCGATCGTTCCTATGGTGGCTGTATAATATAATCGTCCGATTATAATTAAAAACAAGAAAGGAAGTTAACTTCGGTCAGCCGAAGTTTATATACCCTTGCAGTTATAAGAAATAGTCAATGTTAGTAACATCATGTTAAATTTTTAAGGATTGTTGCTAGCTTCAGTGAGATAAAAATATTTCACGTACTCAGCCCCCACACCACGACAAGGTCACAATCCACGAGGGGGAAATTATTATCATTTATTTATATATATTTATACAATTTTTCAGAACTACGTAGATAAATAACATAAAATAAATAAATTAGGAATACCATAAAAATACAAATATACAATACGCTATACACAATTAGTTATTTTTCTAACCTTTTAACCTTACAAGCTATACTTAAAAAAAAATTCCATCGTGGTGGCTATAGGGGGTCTCATAGGTAATGGCAAGAGCTGATGGAATTCGAGAATCTGAAAATATCCAATCAATTTGTGTTAATTGTTTCGTTGTGGGAGAATCATTGATTGAATAGAGGTTAAAGGCATTTAAATGTTCCTCCAGAATATCAGTCCCTGTGGATCTGCAAATATTAAAATCTCCTAATATTACTACTTTAGTATTATCCATTCTGCGCACCTTTTCGACGTCAGATTTAATTTCATTTCGAAATCTTGCAATGGGAAATCCGGGACTCCTATAAACAATTATAAATGACGTGTCAAGATAATTAAATGCAATCGATTGATACGTTGCCCTTGGATTTTGAGACTTCTTTGTCTCAAAAAGAAATACTACATTTTGCGAAATGTTTTGCTTAGCATAAATTAGTATTCCGTTCTTCCCAAGACCATTCAAACGATTGCTATCAATTCTTTTTATAATGTCGAAATCCCTTAAATTGTACTCTTCTTGTGGAAGAGTCCAGGTTTCAACAAAACATAAAAAGTTCGCAGAACAAATAATGTTGTCGTTGGCAACATCTTCGCGATGAGCGCGAAGAGATTCCACGTTGTGGTAATATAAAGAGATATCCTCATTTTCATTGACCAAAAATTCATATTGCGTAGTCAAAGCCTTTTCCCCTCTTAAACTTGCAAGTTCTTCTTGGACATTTGTAGCTCCAAAACTAGTTGGAGGGACAAAGTCTCCTAAAAGGAAAAGACCCGATGCGCTAGTTGCTCTGCTGCAACCTACGTAGAGCGGTGCTCGCTTAATGCCTCTTTTAAGATGCACTGCGACTTTGCTGTAGGTTGCTCCTTGGCTCTTATGGATGGTAATAGCCTCAGCAGGAACAACTGGAAATTGTTTTCTATCAATAGAGGAATGCGCCGAAGTCCCGCATTGGAATACTCGGGCTGTTTTATAAATTGGAGTCCAGTCTGGGTGATCATTTCCTCGAACTTTTGACCTAGCTATAGTACCGACAGTGGAATCTGTAAACTTAATCCACAGTCCAGTAACTAATAATGAGCCGTTAACTATACTGTTGTCAATTCGCATTAATTGACCAGTTGCCCCATTTACAAGTCCGTCATTTGTGTCAATATTGACGGTAACCATATATTTTGCTGTTGTCTTCAGGTGTAAAATATATGGTAGACCCTGAGTTTCAGCGGTCTTCATGTTTTGGGCACGTCTAAGAGTTGATTCTCGACTGTTTTCAGACATATTAGCTGCTTTAACTGTATCTACTGCAGTTGACACAAATTCTTCAGTCCTAATTTGGGCAAGCTTAAGGGAGTTGTAATCGTTTACCTCAGCATTAGAACCGAATAAATGAATTGCGTCGTCGGGAACATCGGTTACTGAAACAACTCTTGTCCTGAAAAGCTCAATATCAGCATCTGACATGTTGGCTTCAGACATATTATTCAAAGCCAAAGCAAAAGCGTGGTCGTCACGTTGCCGCATTATTTCCGTTAGCTCAAAAAACTTAAAATTATTCCAAAGGCTTGCTCCTGCCAGAACATTATAGGGATTGGATGCATCCCCTGCGAATATCCAACGATCTCCAACTGGGCTAAGCTGCTTTAGATCTCCAAACACTATTATAGACTTGCCTCCAAAACGTATATCTTGACTTCTAAAAATTTGACGAAGTCTTTGATCTAAGAATCCAAGCATTTTGGACCCGACCATCGAGATCTCATCTATAATAATTAATTGAATATCAATCAACTTGCAATGCATTGTATTTAAAGTGTCATTGCTTAAGGGTCTTAAGGGACCAGATGATTGATTAACAGGAAGGGAGAAAACTGAATGAAGCGTTAGTCCCCCAATCCCAAAAGCTGCTTTTCCAGTAGGAGCACAAAGTAAAACCTTTGCAGAATCTGTTGCCCCAGCAAGTTTATTTGCCCGCCAAGTTATAGACTGAAATATTGTCGAAATCAATCTGCTTTTTCCTACTCCGGCCCCTCCACCAACATATTCATAAAAAGTTTTTTTGGCTGCAACATTATGCATTACGTGTGCGTAATACTGGCGTTGTTTAAAGTTTAGAGACCGGGTAAGCGAGCAAAGGTTATCGTCAGATACCATCGGAGGAAGTCTTATAAGAGGAAGTTCGCCATCTTCTGGATTATTTGCAGCATTGTCATCTTGGAGTACATTAACGTTTTGTCCGACGTCGGGTACTGCCAAAGCCCTGAATTCTTCATCAAGGTATTGAGAAGCTGGCCCCTCGGGAAGGGGGCCATTTTCTTCTCTATCAACATTTTGCAGATCTTGAAGAACTCTCTCTAATTCCATGTCGTCAAACACATCATACTGCTCTTTGTTGCGTTTAATAATTTCAAAATTATTCCTAAATGTGCTTTCATTGTCGTTTGAAATGAGTTCCGTCTCTTCACTTCTCCATGGGAAGAAGAGCATTACGTGCTCCCTAAAATAATCTGATGGAGAAGAGTTTAGACTGAAGCGAACCCACCTAAGAATAAGGGCATGATTACGTCTTTTTACACTACCAGTCCCATCTAGCATTGGGTAACTTTGAGCAGCAACGTTATTTTCTTCATCTGCATCAAAGTCGATTGGTTCGTCATATTCTTCGTTTGACTGTTCCGATCGTGCATTTGGCTTGGAGAATTTGAACCAAGCCGCAAATTCCGCAAGACATAACGACTCTAGTTGTTCATGTCTTTGCACGTATCGATCAAGTAAGTTTCGCTCAAAAATATCTGTTGAGTTTTCGGGTAGCTGTTCTAATACTCTGTTAGATCGCACTATCCGGACCCTTTTATCTGGATGGCAAGTGTTTATAAAAATATTTCCTTCACTAGCCTCAGACATGTGTAGCCCTAAAATATTGTAAGCTGCTTCTTGGGCAGATATTTCTGTAGCGTTAATAAACTTGCTCCCTAAATGCTGCAATTTTCTTTTGACGGAAATATTTCCATGGGTCATTTCTGTCATTGCTTCTCGAAGCAGTTGCGACACACCACGGTTGGATTTGTTTATGTAGTTAATAATATAACTACAACAGGCGTAAGCATCTAGGATAAATTGAATATCCATGTTAGCTCTATGCAAGCCTAAAATATTTCTATTATAAGCATTCAGCAACCTATCAGAAA